TTTCTCACTGATGATCTTCTCTTTGATAGAGAAACAGATGCCTTATTAAAAGATGTCACTTCACTGGCTAAATTCCAACAGACTCTCCAACAGCTCCCGGAAACAGCCCAGAGAACAAGGAAACCCCATATTCCAACCTGGAGATTTGGTACTGGTAAAGTCTCTTCCCTCATCATCTCCTTCCCTAGGGCCAACTTGGGAAGGACCATACATCGTGATCCTGTCAACTCCATCAGCAGTCAAGGTAGCAGGCCTGGACTGCTGGATACATCACACCCGACTCAAGCCCTGGGAACCAGAGACTGTTGCTGAGTGTGAGCAACCACCCGAATACTCCTGTGAAGCCACAGAAGACTTAAAGTTCTTGTTTAAGAAAAAGGCCAAGCCCTCAGATAAGTAACCTGATGTTATCCCTGGCCCTTTTACTATTTACCTTACCACTTAAAGGACAATGCAGTTCTTTCCTAGTATGGGCACAGGAATATACAGCATCACTACAACAAACATCTTGCTGGATATGTGGCCTGCTCCCCTCATCAAGTACATCAGGACTTCCTTGGTGGGTATCCCCACTTCAAGGAAATGAGTGGAATAAACTACAAAACTATATAAATGTGGCATAAGACAGCTCAGCGATTTGTAGCTTAGCCCACCATTACAAAGTAGCAGAGTGGCCTATAAACTCCACCCTTAATGATCCTGGGCATAAGTGAAGATTTTCTAACAGTGCCACTGAAGCCTCTCTACAGGCACTAATAAAACCCCTATTAAGTAAAAATAAAAACCCTATCATGAGAGCAAATAATCACAGATATAAAGATGGCTACTTCCAGATATGGGATGATTATATGTGGTTAACTCCTACTATAGGACAGCTTAGTAGAAAAGCCCCATTATATTGGGAACAGAGGAATCACTCCTAGTCTCACTGGCCTAACGCTACTAAGTACCTAGGATGGACACCCTTTGAACAATGTATACACACTATTATTTCAAAGGTTGAAGAATGGTTTGCAACAGATTGGTTAAATTGCCCTGGTCTTAGATGGGAAGCCCCCAATGGCACTCATTGGTCTTGTGGAACCAATTTGTGGCCCAGGCTACCACCTGGATGGATAGGGAGACGCATGCTGGGATTTGAATGGTTACAAGGCAGGAGTGTCAAAAATATGGACAAACCTGCAAACTTAACCCATTTACAACACCGATGATCTAGAAGCATGTTTCACTGGTATGATCATTTAGCCTCCATCTTTATCCCTTCCTTAGGATTAGAAGATGTTATGCAAAACATTGAGGCCTTAACTAATTACACTCAACGGGCCTTAAATGACACTTCAACTGGTCTCTCTCTTTTAAATGAAGAGGTAAAATCAATGAGACAAGCTGTCCTCCAGAATCGAATGGCACTAGATATCTTAACAACAGCAAAAGGAGGTACCTGTGCAAATGTAAAAGCTGAATGTTGTGTAAACATTCCTGATACCTCTGCTAATATCTTGATTGCTGTTCAAGATACTGAACAACAGGTTAAGGACATGTCAGATTTTGAGATTCCCTGGGACTTCTTATCCTCTCTGTGGAAGGCTATTACTAGCTCTTCCTGGTGGAAACATCTGTTGGCTATACTCAAAATATTCCCATTGATCTTATTGTTTGGCCCATGTATACTTAACTGTCTTTCTAGCCTTGTCTCCTCCAGACTTAAAGCTATACACCTACCCATGATGGAAACGCATGATGCCTATCGAGGACCTTTAGATAGACCTTCTGAAGGGTATCCCTGACTGCCAACCACAACTACAACCCCCTTCAGCCTGAAGTAGCTCAAGAGGGCATCGCCCCTTGACCCCTCATGGCAGTTTGGGATACTTCTTCAGGGGGAGGAATATTATAGATAGATGAAATATTTTGGGCAGTGAGATAGGGCTAAGTCCTCAGAAGGGCCAGGACAAAGGTGAAACAAACCACAGCTCCACATCAGCTGAAAACCAGGCCTCAAGATAGAGACAAGATGACCAGACCCACATACTTCTTCAAAGAACTGGGCTCAGTGAAGTATAGATAGACATCAACCACCCTGGGAGTGACCAGAGACCTCTGGACCCAGCACCCCCTAAGAGGATCCTTGTTCTTTCATCCATGCTTGTTACATGACTTGCTTCCCAACTGGACCGCCATTACCTAAGTGACTATACTTGTAACCTTATTGGATGTTCATGGCTGTGGCCCACGTTGTACCCAGGTGGGTTTCACCCTATAAAATTTCTCTGTAAAGTGGGGTCCTGGGGCTACCTACTCAGGACCCCTCCTGCCCCTCAGGAGCTTTCCTATCAATAAATATCTTCCTACCTAACCTCCGTAGTTCCTAGGACTCGTTCTTCGATTTCTAGAGAACAAGAACTCAGCGTATCATATAGTTAACAGACTGGGAGATATAATATTTCATATTTCCCACGATAGTAGGGTAAATGCTAAATTCTTTATCACTTTTCAAAATAATGAGCTGATACCCTAAATACCCTCCAAAATGACCAATATTATTTTTATCATTATAAATGTATAGATCTAGACATTTTTGATGTGTTTATATTTATTATCCCTTTACCTATAGCCAATAGAAGAGTTTTCACATAGGTTCTTGAGTCCTCTTAACTACCAAGTCATCTTTTGATTACTTTTTTCTTTCTGGTATGACAAGATGATCAAAGCTCATTTATGTATATGTAAAGTTACTTATGTATACATTTCTTTTCCTGGACCTGGAATCATCCATTTCTCCAAAAAGCCATTTTAGTACAACATGGTATAGAAACATAATCTAGGTCTTTATTCAATAGACTGGGAGAAGTTTTTTGGTCTTTTATTTTTGAAGACAAGATCTCTGTGTAGCTCAGTTTGGCCCTGAAGTCACTGTGTATAGGCATGTGCCACCATGCACGGTGGAATTTTTTTTTAAGAAAAAATACATTAAGGATTCATTCTTTAATTTCTAATTCCAGTTAAAATCTTTAAGGTTTTTATTACTCCTTTATGTTGTACATCAATATCTCTAGTCTCATGCTGAAAATCTTAATGCCATTCCTTTACCCTATATTTCCAGAATAGCATTACAAATATTAAAACTATGATTATCTAAAACTTACAGTACTTTTTGCAATTCTTTTTGTCTTTAGAATCAAATTACAACGTTAAAAGACATTTGGAATAATTTTTCTCTGTAAGGATATAATGTTAACTGAAAACAAAGTTAGACACATTTGTTTCAATTTTACTTTTCTATATTTGTCTTATTAAAATATGGTGGGGGTGGATATAAGCAAAATAAATTATACACTCTGAAATCTCCAAAAGGGAAACTTGGGGTGGGGGTGAGAGGCACAGCCTTGAGGTGCTAGAAGGTGAAGATGATCAAAGTATGCTGTGCTAAAGAACAAAGCCTTACAAAAGGGAGAAAAAAATCAAGACAATTGTATAGAAAAAAAAAATTGTTTTGTTGGTGGATGTTTCCAAAAGAGAAAAAAATAAGACCTATCTAAATGAGTTCAGCCTTTACTCTTATCTTCTTTTATTTCCATGCCACCTCTCAGTTTTAGTTGCTTTCATATTGGACTACTGAACTTTCTACACCTGACGGAACCACCTCTCTTTAAAGATGAGTACCTGTTGATAGCTTGATTTTTTATTTCTCTTAAGGATTCTTTTGCTAGTCTTGATGGAGCTGCTAATTTATCTCCCACTTGCATTTTGGAGTTAAGAGCTATTGCATAATAAAGAATTTGACTAGCTTTTGTCACTGGCTCTAGTAAACCCTTAAAATTGAGTGAAAACAGTCTACATTATTTATGAGTGCCTTGGATCACATCTGAGTTTATTTTTTTCTGAGTTTACCCTAAGAAAATGACTCAGGAAGGATTGTGGTGTACAATTCTAAAAAGAACAACCCTGTGATTGGCAGGCTGGGTTTTTAAACTATATAACATCATCATAACTTTGAAGCCTGAGGAGAGAGAGATTGAGTTCACACATAACCAATGATTCCATCAATGATGTCCATGTAACAAAACTTCAATAAAATTCTAGCACTGAAGCATGGTTTCCTGATTGCTGAGCATATAGCAATGTCAGGACAAGAAAAAAGACACACTCTGATTCCACATTGAAAAGGGTATATAAACTATGTTTAGAACACACCAAATGTAGTTCTATACCTCTTCATTTGTCTAGTCTTGATTCGTATGTTTTATAATAAAATAACAACTGTAAGTATAGAGTTCTTCTGAGTTCTTAGTTGTTCTAGTGAATTACTGAACCTGAGAGGTTCAGTAGAAAGCCCTGGATTTATAGCCAGCTGGTCAGAAATGTACATGGCCTGGGGATCCCTGAACTTGTAAGCTAGTATTTGAAGGGAAGTCTTATAAAGGACTATGCCCAAAGTTGTCCAATATAACACTAACTCTGGGTGCTTAGCATCAGGTCAGTATTGTAGTACACCAACAGGGATACGTTAAAATGTAGTTTTGTTGCTGTACATGTTGTCCATTGGTTTGTTATATTATTGTAGGTCCTCTTCTATTTTTGGAAAAGGATTTTGGAGATTCAAATTGACACTATCATACTGTTGCCAGATCTTTAGAGTTTAAGTTAATGTACTGTATCATATTTCCTCCGCTTCACAGACTATTTTAGTATTTGTTTCACAGTAAGATATTAACATAAGATTAAACTGCCAAGATTACATAGCCACTCTTTCAATTTTAAAGAGTTTATCTGAGCACATGATGACACAAACTGAGCAGCACCAAACCTAGCAGTCTGATTCCTATACAGCCACTCTAAAGTGTTTCAACTACTGTTTGTTCATTAAAGCAGGATTCATTAAATTTGGAAATGAAATAACACAATAACCACCACATACTGTAAAGTAATAACACATGGTTTGTTTCCAAACTGGCTAGAGGCTGGAATTTCAAAATAAAAATAAAGTATAAAAATCTTACCTCTGTTAGACGCAGCCGTGAAGATGCAGCTACATAATCAGATTCTAATTTGTTCTTCTCAGAGATCACCGTGGTATTTTGAAGAATTAAATCTACTTTTTGTATATGCAAAGAAGTACAAATCTAGGAATAAAAACCTTAACAGTTTAGTTTTTATGCTTCAGAACGATAAAAAAGCCAGTTTGGTTTTTTTTAAAAAACAAACTTATAAGTTATGAAAAAATACCATTTTTACTGTGACTGGTATCTCTCAAATAGTTCTTATAAGAAAAAAATTTTAAAAGCATTTTTCCGTGTATTTAAGAGGGATATCCAGAGTGAAATAATTTAATGAGTGCTTTCAACCTATTTCTTACCTATAGAGAAAATGTCAACCACGTAAGCTGAGACTGACAGTAAAAAGCTCGTGCTTACCCAGCTAAAGCAGCAAAAAAGCTTTATCAAGACACTCCCTCCAATAAAGTCCTCTATAAAGATTTACTTTCTTCTCTTAATAGCTATTTAAGAAATGGCTAACACTGTTGGGGATGTAGCTCAGTGGTGCCACCACCTGCCTCGCAAGTGCAGTCCTGAGTTGGATACCCAGTATCCAAAAAAAAAAGAACAAGAAGTGGCTAAAATTAAGAAATGCCTTACCTTTACTAGGCTTGTTAATTCAGTAACAAGTTTTGCTTTCTGAACATTTATTTCTTTGATTTTGGTATTTGCTTTTCGCTCTTCTTCTTCAAGGTTGCAAGTGTCTTGTTCCATCAGCTTTAAACTATATGATACATACAATGATGTACAAATTAGTTAAACACAAGGATTGAACAAAAGTCTTAAGTTCACTGGAGTTTTGGGGGCTATATTTAGCAATGTTGTATTTAACAATCATCTCATTTATGCAATCAACCATGATCAAAAAGTATTTTTCTGAGGTATATCATGTGCCCAGCATAGTCTGGTAATGGTACAGGCTCTGGAGTCAGAAAGGTAGCTTTGAATTTACCACTCATTAATAAGCAGTGGAACTCTGGACAAGTTTTTCTTCCGAGCTTCACTTTCATCTATAAGTTATAAATAATAATAGTAATTTTTTCACAGGATTATAGAGAAGATTTAAAAAGTTAATACATGCAACACATTATAGTACCTGGCCCATAACCCTATTTTTTATGAAGAAACTAAAGCTCAGAAAAGTAAAGTGCATCACCTAAGATGACAGATATCAAGTGTTAAAATATGTTTAACCCCAAGTTTCATATTTTCTACTACAAAGAAAAAAAAAGAATAAACAAGAATGAACAAGAACAATAGCTGCTGTAATGTGTCTCAAATGATACAAACAAGAGTACGTTGAGGAGGGAAACAAAAGTTTAAATAGTTGTTAAAGCTTGTCTAAAGAAGGATAATGTTTAATTAAACTTCATATAGTAATAGTAGGAAGCATAATTCTTTATTGTGTTTGTTTTTTTGGTAGTGGGGATCAAACTCAGGACCTTGTGCTTGCAAGGCAGTTGTGGTGCCACTAAGCCAAATCCCCGGCCCAGGAAGCATAATTCTTAAATGGAGTAGGAACATGGAAAGAACAGTGTTCTGGATGAAATGAATGGAGAGAGAACTAGTCATGAAGAGACCATTAACCAAGTCACCACTGTAGACCAAAGCGAATAAAGGTAGAAATGACACAGTGAGATGGTAATGGATATTAAAAGTCATTTCACTGAAAAAAATTTAAAAACACTATTTTATGAGGACAAAGTTTACTTTTAGACAATGGGTCTAATAAGCAGTGATACAATAAAGGGGGTTAGGTGTTTAAAGCTGAAAAGTAATTCTATGGAATCTAAATTAGACATATTTTGCATTAAGCTATTAAGGTACATTATTAATTTTTTAAATAAAAGTTAATGGGCAATTATTTGCTTTAAAAAAGATTAAGAATAAAGAGTAAATTTTTCTAACACACTTCAAATATGTAATTCAATTTATGGATGTATTTAGGAGCACAAATTATAGGTCAATATAAACATACCTTACTCAAGGTAATGAGCTGCCATTTATCATAAAAGACTTATTATGTCACTAATCTCTGCATTTTTATTCTATGGGGAAGAAATGGAAAGAAAAAAAAAAATAACCGCAAGGTCTGGGCTGTGACATGGTAGGACATGAGGAAAACCCTGAGTGAATGTCATGTTCCTATTCCCTAGTCTTAACACCCATACCTTCTGCTCCTCTCACCTACCACTCTGAATTCAATGGAGATGTAAATGTGGTCCATAGTCTCTTGCAGACGTCTAAAATTACTCTCCCCTCCCCACCACATTACTGGGACTGAATATAGGGCCTGACAAATGCTAGGTCAAGTGCTCTATCACTACATATCCCCAAGCTTTAAAACTTTCTATCTAATCAATCAATCAATCAATCAATCAATCAATCTTATCTGTTTTTTTGAGACAGGATATTGCTATGCAGTTCAGGTGAGCTTGAACTTAATATAGAGCCCAGGTTGGCATTAAACACAGTAATCCTTCTGCCTCAGTCTTCCAAGTTAGTTTTATTTTGAGACAAGCCCTCCCAACATGACCAGGCTGGGCTCAAACTTGTGATTTTCTGCCTCAGATTTCTGAATAGCTGGGAATACAGGCTACTGCACCTGGCTTGGAAAGTAGGTTGTATCTTAATAAATATTTTGTGTTAGCATATGAAGGGTTTATTATTTTTAAATGAATCAATAAATGTTGAACATTCTTAGTTGTTTTGTTTTTTGAGACAAGTTTTTGAAACTAGTACTTGTTATATAGTTCTCCAGGCTGGTCTTGAACTTGCAGTGATTCTCCTGCCTCAGCCTCTTGAGTGCTGGGATTACAGATGTGTGCCCCCATGCCCAGCTAACATGCTAAATCCCAATACAAACACGGACTCCATAAAAATGAAACTTTTTCAGGGTCATCTTTAAGCATGTAAATAGGTTTAAGGACTGGAACAGAGCCGTAACATGATTTATCTTCTGTTGCACTGTGGACCAAAACTGTATGTTGAGCAGCAGAATTAAAACTTTGGAGAGAAATGACTACAAAATGTGCTTATGGGAATTGCGCTGTCATTAGTTTGATCAGTAATATCCCATGTGGCTCTTGGTCTCTCCCCACAAAAAGGCTAAAATTACCTTCCTAGTTTGGAACTAATTTTTTGTTCCAGTTGTCTTTTCTTGGTTTTTCTTTCAAGAAGGTCCTTCTTCTTTTGTCTAAGTTCATTGTCTATGCGTTCTAGATGTCTGTTTGTGTCACGTAAGGCAAGCAATCCTGAATCCACTGCTTCCAATTTTCTATTAATTTCCTATGGAATATTCAAAATTGTTAACATGCTTTTAAAAAAGAAATCCAAAAAAAAAAAAAGAAATCCAGTTTCTTTTCTATGAATCAAATAAAATTAACCAACCTTTAGCTGTTCTTCCAACTGTCTTCTTTGTTCTAGATCCACAGTGACTGTGAGAAACTGGGCTACTTTGAGGGATGTGTTACTGGAAATAACTTTGTTTGAATAAACAGAAGTTTTCACCACATATTTTTCATCTGCTGTATAAACTTGTTTTAATTGGGTTTCTTGTATTACCTATAATGTAAAGCAAGAATTCATGAACATCTAATAAAAATTATGATATACATTTTAAAGAAAGGGCTATAGAACAAAAATACGAACCAAGTGAATTTTGGAAGATCATGATATACTATATATACTTCCTTTATTTTGACCTATCTGATAACATCTTTTAAAAGGTGGCTGATAAATTTCAGGTTATTCTTTTGGAAACTGGAATGAAGAGAGACTGAAGAGAAAACTAAACCACTAGCAAAGGTGCTATACCTGTTCACTTTACATTCTCTCAAGTGAGCTACTTGGGGCTTTGTTATATTTAAAGAGCCATCTGGAGCCAGGTATCTAGTAGATGGAACTATTAAACTAGGTTAAGTAATTCATGTTCTCCTCCCCTTGATTATATTATTAAAACATGTTTTAATTACAAAGATTAATCTTAATATGTATTTAAAGATATATTATTAAAAGATATATATATTATTAAAATCTTGAATATTTAGAATACTAAATAGAAACAATTTCATGTATTTCAAAGACTTTATTTTTATATTTTTTGAGACCTTTTCTCTCAAGAACTTATGCAAAGAGTTTCATAATCTAAAACATTCTAAACAGCACAACAATATTACATTTGTACATTTATTTAGATTGGCTGCTGCGTTGGGCATGGTGGAGCAAACTTATAATTCTAGTGCTCTGGGAGGCCGAGGGACAAGAAATCAAGTTTAAGCCCAGCCTAGGCAATTTAGCAACTTAGTGAGATATTATCTCAAAATAATAAAAGGTCTGGGGATGTAGTGTAGAGGCGCTGGGTCCACTCCCCACTACTGAAAAAGTACAAGACAAAAAAAGTGGCTGGTATGATGCATTTTTTCCCAATCTCTAAAATTCATAACCAGTATTACTGAGGCTTAAGAAATGGGATGAGACCTATTTTTGTTTTTCTTTTGCAGTGCTTGGGAAATGAACCACGGCTTTGCACATGCTAGAGAAGCATTCATTACTACTACTGAGCTACAACCACAGACCTTTTTATTATTTTTATACATTTTTTAAATTTTAAGACAGGATCTTACTAAAAGTTTCCCAGGCTAGCTTTCAACTTGCAATCCTCCTGCCTCAGCCTCCCAACTAGTTGGAATTAGAGACAAGAACTATTTAAGCACATTTAATCAACAAAGTATAATCTGCCATCCTAACTGCTGAGTAATGTGGAATAAAGAAAAAAACTACATGAGCTTAGCCTATTCAAGTTTCATGAAAATAAGTTCTAAATGGGATGTGCTGAGGAAAGGGAATTTGCAACAAAAAAGACATGTGAAGCTAAGGAATCCAGTAGACATTTCAGTCAAAGGGGAGTTTTTTATGGGGTTTTTTTGGTACCAGGGATTGAACTTGGGACACTGCACTTGCCAGGCAGGCACAAGAACGACTGAGGTAAATCCCTGGCCCAGTCAAAGTGGAGTTTTAAAAATTAATAGAAGAACAATCCTATAAATAGTGCTATTATCACGGTTGGAGAACCTAAAATGCTGACTTGATCATAAAACATGTACTAAAGAATTTTTATTTTAGGGAAGAAATAAAGCAATTATTTCCATTATCTAAATATGAAACAAACAGAAGGATTGAGGATATAAAGATAATCAATTTTCTCAACAAAAGTTTGCATATTCTGAAAGATGGCCAAGATAACAACGGTCTGTCCCAACTCCTTAAAATACTTTCTAACGTGCCTTTACTTTATACACAACTGTGAAAAATGTCTCATCACGTGACACAGCACTGAATTGGGCACTGGGACAATCAAGTTTAAGAAATATTCAATATATTTATTAAAGTCAGGTTTAAGGAATATTCAATATATTTATTCATTTGAAAATACCACTATTTAGGGCAACCCATTCAGAACCCCTCTTGTCTCCCAGGAGTTATTCCTATTCCCATTCCTATTCTCCAATACAATTTCCTACTCTTAAAAAAAAAAAAATTATTTATATAACACCGTAGAGATTAAGGTGAATGAAAAATACCTAAAAGAAAGGGAAGAATTAATTTTACTTTTAATGCAAATTAAATAAGTGCTACTTATCCAGTACAAAGAGTAATGGTAAAGCTTTTCAAGTGACTTAAACAAAATGTTAAAAATAAAAGTACGTAAAAGTGATACAACTTGAAGCATTGTTCAAAGATTAAAAGGATCCTAATTACAGTGAATTGCTCCTTTCTGCCATAAAGTAAAAAGGTGTTTTATTTTGTTTTGCAACAGGGTCTGGCTATGTATTACAGGCTGGCTTTGAACTCACTAAGTAGACCAGGCTGGCCTTGAACACTCATGATGATCCTCCTGCCTCAGCCTTCCAAGTGCTGGGATTACAGGCATGAACTACTATGCCCCACTATAAAACAAAATTATGAAGCCCTTACCAAACTTTCTATTGTCTTCCTGCATTAGTGATGAATTCTTACTACCCCTTCTTTCAGAGATAGCTCTACCTACTTTTAAAGTTATTGTCCTCACTGACTTAAGACACAAAGAAGTATATCAACATGAAGGGCTCTATTTTTGGTTTCCACAAGTGATCTCCATAATATGATATAATTTTTAACTGAAGATAAAAGCAACTTGCTATAAGTAATTCATTCTAACAAAATGGTTTTCTATCTTGTGTTAGTGAAGTACAGAGCACCCCCAATGAATGATTTTAGGAACACTTGTATAATGTTACTGGAAAATAAATGGCTAAGTTTGATGGTACATGCCTTTAATCCTAACATTCTAGGAGGCTGAGGTAGGAGGATCGTAAATTCAAGTACAGTCTGAGCAATTTAACAAGACCTTATCTCAAAAGAAGAAAACAGCCAGGGATGTGGCTCAGTGGCGCTGCAACTGCCTGGAAAGCGCAAGGTTCAGAGTTCAATCCCTGGGGATTTACCTCAGTGACACTGAGCCTGCCTTGCAAGTGCAAGGTCCTGAGTTTGATCCCCAGTACCAAAACAAAACAAAAACAGCTCAGTGTGAAGGTCCTGGGTTCTATTCCCAGTATTGCTAAATAAATAAATGCATAAATGTGGTACTATAAAGAGCAGTTAGGTCTTTAATTGCTTCCCAGGAATTTATATGCAGTATTAATGTGGATACATGGTATGTTATGGAAAAACCCGTTCTAGGAGAGAACTCTTCTGTTTTTGCCTTTGCAAGGGGTTCAGAGACAGAGATTGTGTGGAAAAAAAAATTCCAAATAAAATTTGCAGAATACAGGAACTAAGAATTTCTATGGTTATACTTGTCAAGATAATGAGTCTATGAAAAATGATTATTTATATATTGCAATAATCTTAAGTATAAGCTTTAAGAAGGGGAGGGTTACCAAAATAGTACCAGACCCTAGCATATCATTCTAGAGTAATTTAAAAAATACTTTAGAATATAAGAATTAAATGATTAGACTATTAATATAACGTCTGAACATAGGTTTATCAAGCAAGGCAGGCTAAGGAAGAGTATCCAAGTGTCTCTTTTTAGTTTTAACTTTATTCAATTCCCCTAAAAGTGTAAGTATTTTCTTATTCTAGTTAAGGTCATATCAATTTTTCAGAGTCAGTAGCCAAGTTTTTATATCATATTAAAAATTAAAAACAAATATAATACCTGCATGCTTAAAAATTAAATTTTTGATACTCTTCTGCTTTACTTTAAAAGAAACTTAATCAAACTGTTTTCAGTAATAATTCAGTGCTTTCTTACCCACTCAATTCTTTCTCTGGTTTTTTCAGTTCCCACAGGAACTTCATGAATGTGATACTGGAAGCAAAGGTAACTCATTACAGGCTCAGGTGCATCAAATAACTCTCGCAAATAAGAAAAAAATCCATATTGTCTGGGAAAAAAAGTATTGATTTGAATTTTTTCTTAAAAGTGGTCAACAAACAATAAGGAAAATATACATTATTTCAACAACTGTATAGGGAAATTTTTGTTCTTTACATTTTAAGATAACAGTATTATTTACTTGTCAGAAGTTTGAACTTTTTATGATTACAAACTATTAAACTATTCTTGTTTCTTCTATTATTTCACATTAAGAATGTCTACTTACATCAAGAGTTAAGATATTCATAACTGTTTAAATTACAACTTTCACATTTAGTCCTTCTGGAAATTCTTACATTATAAAGTAATGATCTGTGTTTCATTTTCCCAATAAACAACTCTTTATTTTTTATCTTTAGTAAAAGATATTTTAGTATCTTTCATCATACAGTTCAATATTGTACTACTCTGAGACCATCATATGATAACTATGCCATGTGGTTTCTTCCTGGGCCTAAAGTTTTCCTTATTTTAGACTTCAGTAGAGATCCTACAGGAGAATACAGCTAATAACAAACATATTGCTCAACAAAGTGGTAAGTAAAATATACTTAAAACTATTGAACATTCCAATTAGTTAAGGTATTTTAAAGACTTACTTTAGTTCACTCAGAGATCTTGAAGGTGGTCTGTCTGCATATGAAATCTTGGGAGCAATAACAGTATTGACTCTTAGCTTTTTATTGTCACGAACCTGATTATAGGGAAAGAATATATTATTTTAATCACCACATATTCTCAACTGAGATGTTGTGTAAAGTTACCATATTCCTTCTGGAATTTGTGGGATGATCAGAAATTCAAACAGTAGATGTCTGATGATACTTAGAAGAAATTTTTTTTTTAACGGCAGTAATGACATTGAAGTTCTTTGTTTTTATATAGTGTCTACTTCTGTTACAGATATATACTGAAATATTTCCTGATGAAATGGAATGTCTGAGACTTGCTTCAAAGTAATATAGGAGAATAGCTATGCTTCCATTAATGGCAAATTATCTTCTATTGGGTTAACTTTCTACAGATAATGATTAAAGTTGTTATGTAGCCCAGGATGGTCTCGAACTCATGATTCTCCTGCTTCAGCCTCCCAAATACTGGGATTACAGGCATGTGCCACCATGCTCAATCTACTTAAATCTTTGGCTGACCCTCAAACTACAAAAACAAGGAAAAACTTCAAGGGGTTGAAAGAAAACAATAAACAAAAGGCTGAAAAAACTAAATGGAGTTTAGTTTTCAATTGCTACCCATTGCAAAAGTACTAAATCCAGCTAATTTAACTGCTTTCTAATTTTTTTGAAGGAATAATGGAATCCAGTCTCCACAGTGCCAGTATACATAAATAACTACTATATATGAGAAGAATAAAATGCCACCATAGTCAACAGAAAAAGCAGTCAAGACAAATTTACCACACAAAGACACAAATGTTGGAATTAACAGGTAGGAACTTTAAAGTAGTTATTAAGTATGCTCAAGAAAACTATCATCAGAATGAATGCGTAGAGGGAGAATCTCAACAGAAAAAAAAAAAGAATAAAGGAGAATTAAACTGGAATTCTAGAATTAAAATATGAGTACAATGAAATGAAAAATTCACTGATGAGCTTAATACTAAAAGATCCTAGAAACATTAAAAAGATAATGCTATGAAAAACTTTGCCAAAAACAGATGAACTAGAAAAACTCCTTAAAAACAAATTTGATGAAACAATGCAACAGAAAATTTGGCATAGTAAATTCACACCTATTGCTGAAATTGAATGTGCTATGGAAAAAAATAATTCCAAAGAAAACTCTAGACTCAGATGTCTTCATCAATAAATTCCCTAAAACAGCCAAGGAAGCAATAATATAAAAACTTGGGGGCCAGGGATTTAGCTCAGTGGTTCTGCTGCCTGCCTCACAAGCGCAAGGTCTCGAGTTCAATCCCCAGTACTAAAAAAACACTTGGCAGAAAACATAAGGAAGGGACATACTTCTCAAATTATTTTATCCCACATAAGCCTGATTCCCAAACATGACAAAAATGTTATAAAAGACTATATACCATTATTTCCTATGACCACACATAGCATCCAAAAATATATGAACATATTATATAAACAACCAGAGCTTATCCAGGGAATGTCAGATTGATATAATAAAACAAAAATTCACAGATCAAAGTTATCACATTAAAGTATAAAAACAACACTGTCATTTCAGTAGATACAGATGGATTCTATTAAGCAACTACTAGAATTGAGTAAGTGAATGCAACAATGTCACAAGATATAAGGCCAATACACAAAGTATTAACTGTATGTCAATGCACTAGCAATAAATAATATAAAATGAATTTCAGAATTTAATTTCTAGTACTAAAAACAATGTGCATTCTTAATGTTCATTTTAAAATTACATATTATACATTTAACAAAAGATGTGTAAAGTTTATACACTAAAAATGTTGAGAGATATGAATGAGAGGCACAGTGAAAGTGTGGAATGGAGGAATTTCATGGTGGCACAGATCAGCAATTCTAAAAACTGCTTTCAGAACACTCTAGGCAGGTGGTGGCAAACATAGCACATGTGCCACGGTGGACTGTTTGTATCAATGAAAGCTCTAAAATATTTGCCATCACTGCTCCAGGCTTAAGAAAATGAATAAAAAACCTTTCACAATCAAGAAAAATTAAATACCTAGGAATTAACCTAACCAAGTAAATAAAAGTGAAAGACCTCTACAATGAAAACTATAGTACTCTGAAAAAGAAGATCCTAAATAGAACAAATAGAGTCAAAATAGCTGTACTTCCAAAACTGATACACAGATTTAATGCAATCCCAATCAAAATACCTTGAGACCATAATGTTCAACTCGGCCTTGTACATCCTAGGTAGATGCTCTACCACGGAACTACAGCCCTAGCCCCTCATTAATGGTACTTGAACTACTTGGTAGTTTCATGAAGAATAGGATATGTATAGTCTCAAAGTATCTCCATACAAATAATTACAAGGAGAAAAAGGATCGGTTTTGCTATACTGCTTGTTCTGAAAACAAATGTTTCAAGCGATTCATATATTAGAAGAAAATTTGAGCATGATATGAATTTCACATTTGCTTACATGCAGTTTCACCTACAAAGAAACAAAAGGCTTCCTGTAGATGAAAGCAGGAAACTACATTCAACCAAACCAAACTTTATAAAAATACATACAATTTCTGAGTGCACAAACATCCTCACATATCTACCAACTCAGTTCACCATGACCTACATGCACTCACATGTGTAGTTAAATTTTTTTCTAGTGAAAAAAATTTAGTATTTCAACTAACCAGTTTGTTTCATCACTACACAATAATTCACAAGCTGAACACTTCCATGAGCCAATTTTGGGTCTTTTTCAAAATAAAGCTTGATCTACTATACTTCTGTCTTAATAATCTTTGTGGGTTTTTTTGTTTATTTTTTTTTAATAATCTTTGTTTTTGAGAAAGGGTCTCCCCATGTATTCCAAGCCGGCCTTGAACTCATGATGGAGCCCAGATGGACCTCAAACTTGTGGTAATCTTCCTGCTTCAGCCCTGCGAGTGCTAGGATTACAGGTGTGTGCCATCATGACTGGCTTTTTGTGTTAACAATTTAACATGTAAAACTGTGCTACTGTTTTTATAAAGTTCCTCTTTTTCATGTATCACTAATTAAACTTCTAAGTATTGTATTGTATATTTTGAGTGTTATATTCCATAAGCCCTGTGGGCTTTTACTGCACAACTGTGCCTAGTACAGTGATTTTTATAAATCCACATATTATGTAATAATAGAACCAAATACACTTTGGATGGGGAAATAAAATGAACATAATTAGTGATTTTGGGAAACAGGTATATAGAAATTCAGTGTACTACTCATAACTTTTCTAAGTTTGAAATTATTATCAAAACAAAAAACTAATTAAAAAAATCAACAGAGGAATGCAGCTGTGAATAAAACAGTACTCCCCATGAGGTAGTCTATCAATGCTAGCATATGGTATTCATTAAGTTTTCATCTATTGTTTTGGTGTTTATATTAAATAAAACCACATTATAGAATAAAAAATTTATTTTCAATTCCACTTCAGTTTTTCTAATTATTCCAAGGACAAAGTTGCAGTACAATGTCAGCCTGTCCTTCATTTCTTATTCTCTTTCAAAACATGTTAACTGCTTTCAGCAAGCACCAATTCAGATCTAGAATTAACTAACACTATTTTTATTGTCTTGCTTTGCAAATTATTTATGGTTTCTAATTTGGTAATGACACACTCAATTTTAGAATATTTTGTATGAGTAATAAAGAATGAGGTGATTTAAAAAAATATTACCATACGTGGGACTTAGAGAGAGCAAAACATTGTGATGGTAATATATGGTAGCATGCAAAAATGGCAAAAATTATACAGATAATTTGTAAGTTACTGAAGGATCCAAAATAGTACTCTAATAGATACAATTACAGGGGAAAGTTATATAGAACAAATCTCACAATTTAAAATACACACATAAAGTCACAGGATTTAGAAGGAAGTTCCATGTCTCACAGGCATGGAACACCCAAGTTAACTGACCTCTTCAGTGAGCTCTGACATCACATCCGTAACTCTTGCTGGGCTTATTAGGTTCCAACAAACAAAAATGCTTCAATACTTTAGAGTTCATTTTACAGTTTTCTGTATCTAGCCTTTTTATCCCCAGTCACCTTTATGTTCACTTTCTGCCACTCCCAAACTAAAAGTAAGGACATATGATTGAAGCCAAAGAAAGTGAGAAAAATTTCCAAGCTCTTCTATACCAGAGAAACAAACGACTACTTGAGCTGGTTTAGGGACCTGTCCTCATTTAGACAAAATTAATTTAGACAAATTAGCAAAAGTTCAAAAAGACAAAACAAAATCTAACCTTACGGGCCTTGTTGTGCTTTAGATCTAGGATGTCCAAGAGCCTGTGTGTTCAGAGGTAGGGCTTTTGGAAGGTGACTGGATCATGTGGGTGCTGACTTAGGAAGTGGGAAGTGACAGGAAGATAGGAAGTGAGCCCTGGGTGGAGGTGGGTCACTGGGGGAATGGCCTAGAAGGGGTGTCTTCCTCTCTGCGTCCTCCCTTCTCTCTCTGGTTCTTGGTCACCATGATGTGAGAAGCTTTCCTCTGCAGTGGGACCTTCTACCATGCCATTTCTGTGTTTGAGCCTGTTAATCACGGACTGAAACTTCTAAAACTATGACGCAAAATAAACCTCTCAGCCTTTAAATTGTATTGTTCTCAGAGATGGGAAAGTGACTAAGATAGGCCTTTTAAAGAAATATAAAACATATGCAAAAGGGAAAATCTTACTGCATAAAAGAAATCTTTATATATATATAGCTAAAAGTGTCATATATAGCTAACCATATAGTAGATATGTAACAGTGTGAAATAGCTAATAAGTACTATTCTAAATACTCATTAATAACATAATCCTCACAGTTATCTTCTGAAGTAGATAATATTAACCTCATTTTATAGATGAGGAAACGTGAAGCATAGACACTAGATAATTTACAAGTTAGAAGCAAAGCTAGGATTCAAATTCTGGCAGCCTAGCCACAGAGCCTATGTTCTTGAATGCTAATCTTTGCTGCCTTTTGGTGGCTTAGGTTCTCAGTCATTGGTGGTTTTCTACACAGATACAGAATTTTCATTCTTTTCCACAAAGTTTTATTTATATTAATAAGCAACATTATATTGACTTCCCCTTGAAAGAAAAACTGAGTTCATTCCAAAACATGCACAAAAGGGAGTCCAAAAACCAAGGTTCATCATGACTTTTCTTTTAGAATAATGTGACAGAATTACTCTTCAAATTAATTTCATATAATTTCGAAATGTTATAGATGGAATTAATATAGTTTTCCTTTTATAAAATAATTTCCCTACAATGATACAAATAGAAAAGAAATTAGCAAAACTTAGTAATTTTACACAAGAGTTAAGGCTGGTAAAATTAGTTATCACTTTTTGCTCTAAAGCTAAAAATTTAAGCACTGAAAGACAAGTGCCAAGTGAACCAAAGTAATATGTTGGTCAGTACCTACCTCTCTGAGGAAAATCTCCATATCTTCTTGATTTTCAAACACAAAAGCTCTCAAGTCATTTGACGAAATATGATTTTCAATATATTTGGCATTTTTATTATCTTTCATGTTGATCTAAACAGAAGAAAATCAGTTGACATTCATGAAATCCACTATTAGAACATGTCTCTATGTAACTTGCATTTATTTAATTGGATTCAGTTTAGTACTAGAAAAAAAAGGGAATGACTTGGGACTAAAGGGTCATTTTAAAACATCTAGAAACAACCAACACATAAACAAATCCAAGATTTGAATATTACCAGATACACACCAATTTTCCAAGAAATAACTAGTTACTTTACAGGCCAGCTCACTGAAAACATCTGAAAGTATTAGACTGTGATCTAAGAATATAAACACTTCTCATCTTTTCCAAACTTTTTTTTTTTGAAGACATGGTCTTGTTATGTAGCTCAAGGTGGCCTTGAGCTCATGATACTTCTCCGTTAGCCTCTCAATTTTCCCATTTAATATTTTTCTTTTTAATCTTCAAGAGAACTTCACATACATAATGATTAATTGATAAGTATAACACACAAAACTTAAAGAAAAATCTTTATAAAACTAATTCTAAAAAAAACTTTGCTATAGTTTAACTATTAGTGCCTTCAAGAGAAACTCTTAAGTTTGCAACAACACAGCAAAAAACTTACTAACTTATTTTACAAATATAACAAATTACTAGTATTAACTAATGTCTGAATGTGTGGCTCAATTCTACGGAAGATCTTAAGATACATGTCAGAGGAAAATGGACTGTCTCAAGGGTACAATCTATTTTTTTTGCAAATGAATATGCTTAAAAACATAGCATGATAAAGCTCCCATTAAAAGAAGTAAATTAGTGTTATTTATGGAATTTTAGAGGAGACATGGATTACCTCCAGCTGATAAGTCAGCTTTCTTGAAATAATGAAACAGAAGGTGTTATGCAGTAAATATATCAAGAAGCACATCAGTTGAGCTGGGGCTCTGTGGTCAGAAAGATGTCCTTTCAAATCCTATGTGAGATCTTAATCAAGTACTACTTAAATCTCAGAAAGCTTAGCTACTCCATCTGTAAGATGAATATAATAAAATAGTATACCCTCACAGAACTAAATGGGGATTAAAGAATGTAACAACTTGAATAAAATTAGTACAATGCTTGTTACATAAACACTGGCCAATACTACTCTCTATTTTAAATTACAGAATATCAAGAAGCGTAGAAAAATGAGAAAATAAGACACACAAAAAAGTAAAACCACCTCACCAAGGCCTACACACTATAAACCTTTAGTGTCTTTTTACAGTATTTTTGGTATTAAAATATTTATTATTAGAAATATAAATGAAAGGAAATGTTAAGTAGAGGCTTACTCTTCAACTTACAGAAAGTCCCTGAAGGGTTGGGTAAAAGTATATGGCAATATGGATGGAAAGAAGTGATAGAAAAGGTAAAGAGTTATTCTACAAAAGGTGAAAAACCAGACTATAGCACTTCTAAAGATTCAAATGTAATTTAAAATAGAAATATACACCAACTAATAATTTGAGTTGATCATAGGCTAGTGTAAGAATATCAAACGACGGATGACAAATCTAAAAAAGTTCTGAAATATTATTTTAAATTTGGCATTTTAATAAAAATCTATTGACAATAATATCTGCATTATAACTTATACCCAGGGTAACAGTATCTATCTTTTCTTTCAATCCTCATCAGATTATTCAAAACAGTGTCTACATCCAAAAGAGAAATTGTCTTCGATCTGGCAAAAATATTCTAATAAAATATTCTAATATAGTTTTGCTAATGTAAGATATAATAAAAGATTAAAATTTATATAAATGATTCTATAAAGCGTAACACAAATATGAATTGTAGAAAATGAAACTTTTTAACAGGCATGGTGGTGTACACCTATAATCCTAGCTCTAGGGAGGCTATGGCAGAAGAACTGTCATGAATTCAAGGCTGGCCTGAACTGCACAGTGAGACCCTGCCTCGAAAAAACAAAGAAACTTTACATGAATCTTGCAAGGTTCTACAATATTTTTTTTTTTTTTTTTGAGACAGAGTCTTGCTATGTATTTCAGGCTAGTCTTGAACTCACTATGTAGTCCAGGCTGGCCTCAAACTCATGGTAATCGTCCTGCCTCAGCCTCCCAAGTGTTGGGATTACAAGAGAACACCACCACATCTGGCCAATCAATTCTTTTTTTCAAAAAATCTAGCATAAATCATCTTTATCTGGGGGAAGTTTCAAGTTTATATATCTATATCTAATACATCATTATCAAAGAATATAGTTTTTTACTTTTTCATTACTTTACAAAGCCAAACTTCACATAGTCTATGATAAATTACCCAGCTGCCCTTGAACTTGTCATGATGCTCTTGCCTTAGCCTCACAAGTAGCTGGAATTATGGGTGTGTACCACTATACTCAGGTGCTTAACCTCATCCTGATGACTCACAAACATCAGTTAAAAGCTACCAAATATTTCATAATGTTAAACTATTTCATTCTCAATATTCTCAGGATGCCCTTTATTATAACAGGTGATTTCCTCGCCTATCCTGTCATGAGTTCCTTTATCAATATTTTTTATTTATAGTACTTTTCTACCTCCTCAGCAGGTTTTAATCTATTATATACTAACAGCCAGCTAACCAAGGTAATTTTATACATATTCATAGAGGGTAAGCTGTCAATTTCACGTGATCTTTTTTTCAGAAAAAAGTTCACAGGTTTTTTTGATAATTACTTACCCTCATTGATCATGAGACTTTTGTAAACCTCATTCACATACAAATTTAGTCCTACAACAGAGATGTCACAAGTCCATACCAGAAAAGGGGTTAAGAGGACGAAGAATTTTTAAAATAACAAATATTTATAATCTTCGCAATAATAAACCCAACAGATTCTATGAAGATTAGTAAAATTTCTTACCATAAGCATTATGGGCTCGCAAACTCTTTTCTTAAATCTGTCTCTGTTACTTCTCAGCCATAAAACAGCTTCATATGTGTCCCGGTATCTCTGTCTCAGCTTATCTTCTTTTTGATTCATAAGATTGTCAAAACGTACAATATGCTCACCAACACCTAAAATTGCAAAGTGAGTATTGCTTCTCTGAAAACTCTGTCACAAAACAATCCATTAATAACAGAAAAAATGACCCTACACCTAAATGATATGAATACTACTTAGCAAATACACAACACAGTGGAAAAGACTTGGTCCAGATTAATCATTCTAAGATTTCTTAATACCAAGGATAATAAAATGATCTCCACTCTATTGAAAATAAAAAACAAATCACCTACAAAAGAATGAGGAAAGTACTAGCTTTCCTATCAGAAGACAGCAACAAGAGGCTTTCAAAATTCTGAGATACACCAGGTGTGGTGCTGCACGCCTATAATCCCAGCTGGGAGGCTGATGCAAGAGAATCACAAATTCAAGCCCAGTTTTGGAAACTTAGTAACTTAGTGAGACCTGTTTCAAAATAAAAAAATTAAAAAAACTAGAGGTGTAGCTTAGTGTGCAGGACCTGGGTTCAATCCCCACTATTGCAAAAAAAAAAGAGAGAGAAAAATTACCTTTCAACACAGAGCTATAAACATAACAAAATTAAGAACAGAGGATAATTCAAGGTATTTTCAAGGATGCAATTAACTAATGAAAATTTTTTTTGTATATCCTTTTATTGGTACATTTTAGGTGTACAACATAATGACATTCATCATTGGAAATGTGCACCTATTGGTTCTTATTTTTCCCCCTTTCCCTGCCCTCCCTTCAACCCCTCCATCCCTCCCTATTTACAAAGACTTTGTTTCCATTTTTTTGTTTTCTCATATTAATTCCATTCTCTTCTTTCCTTTCCCCTACCCCTCCCACTTCCCCCTCCCCTTTGCCCCTTTTCTTCCTATTTCACATTATCTATTAAATAATAACAGCTTATGAAATTAATTCTTGGATATCTTTTCTCAGCTTATCTGAAAATGTCCACTAACAAAATAAGGGAATACTTTCTTTTAAAAAAAAAGGGGGTGGGGGAAAGACACGGAATTCAGGAATAGGTTTATTTAACACAGGAAAAGTGTGAGAAAAATCCCAAATGACAAGGTAAGAGGCCCCGAGAACAACTAGTTTAAATGGAAGGCCACAGAATTCAAGAGAATGCCTGATAAATCTTTTCCCCAATTTAGGAAAATGCTAAAGCAAATAGTATTTTTTTAAAAAGTTAATTAAAATCTTATTTAGATCATCAATAAGAGAAAATTTAATTGTAATATAATACTTGGTTTGGCTACAAAAAAAATTTGTTGTTGCAGTAAACAATACGTAGCATTCTGAACTTTTAGAATTAGTACATTTCCACTGGCTTGAACCACTGGTGATACCTGCATGACTGTCCCATCGGGCGGCTTGTATCGTCTGACTGGATGTCCTATGCCACCCAATGGGACAGTCATGTACACATCACTGGTGGTCAGAATTGCCTGGCAGCAAGACATGAATTATGGCCCTGTCGTGACCCATAAAGCACATCAAACTGACAGGTCTCCCACCACCTCAGCAGCTATTATGTATAGTTGCTGCCCTCTTCCTATGGTGCCTTGCCCCTTCCCCTGTGTGACGTCATGCCAAGATGGTTGCTCCCACCAAAGAACAAACCCTTCTTCCCAGCATGCCCCTGTTCCCACCTAGAGAGTAACCTAATACTCGCTCACCTCTTACCACCTAGTGACATCACCGGCTCCTCCATTCCCTAGTCACTACCTCACTCAACCCCACCTCAGCCCCTACAAACCCCACCCCAGTCTCTATAAAAGACTCTCCCTGCCCCAGCCATATTGCTTTTGTCTCTCCTTTGTTCAGAGACAGCCTGGCAGATCTATTCCCCTAATAAAGGCTTGTTGTGGCCTGGTCTGGTCTTGGTCTTCGGCCCTTTTACCTGACACAAACCATTATAGTTCTCAATAAAACATGTTTTTAGCTTTGAAAATACAAAAGCCAAAGTACAGATGAGAGAATCTGAATGAGAAGAATGGGTGTACTGCAGTACAGTTTACCTTACAAAGTACACACTCAAATAATACTGACAATCGTTAAATGACACAAAAAAGATGTATCATTTACAATAAAAATTAGTATTATAAATATAATAATCTAATTTGACAAGTTACAATAACAGGGAAATAGGTATTACAAGCTAAAATCCACATGTGGAATAAATATACAAAGATGATGTGCAAAACTGATTAATAAAGCAAAGTGAAATAAGAATATGATGACTACATGTAAAATGATTATAAAAAACTGCTAAAAGAATTAAAAGTGATTACTCTTGAGAATAGGTCTGGAGGTGGGAAAGGAGTTATACCATCTTTCTCTTCTAGTTCTCTTTAGCTCTAAGAACACAAATCTAGTACTTCAATGAACATATAATAATGGTATTTTTAAACTAATATTAATCATATATATTGAATAGACAAAATAAGATCTCTTCTACTCAATAATGCTATCAATCTATAGACATGGTCTACACAATAAAGAAAAGTCAATATGAAATTAAGATCTCTAAGAGCAAAGCTAATGGTTATCAAGGCTAGGATAGTTTAAATCTGATCTGTGAGTGACTCTAAAGAAAATAAAGATAAGCATTTTAGACACTTAAATGCTGTAACTGGACATAAGACAATGATCAGCCAGTGGCAAATCATGGTACACAATAGCTGTAGGTAATTAAGGCACAACACTGAAAGTGAACTGAGCTTTCTCCACAAGGAAACTTAAACAGTTTAAAGCAATAAGTACTAGGAGAAGAAAGCCATCAACAGATTATAAATGTCTATTTTATAGACAGTTCTTCACCTTAAGAAAACTTACTCTTTTTCTCTTTCTCCAGAGTCTCCCTCTCCCTTCGTTTATCAATTATCTCGCCTTCACATAATGCCTTTTCATCTTGAACTCGTCTCAGGTCATTGGTAATGCCATCAATCTGAGGCTGAAGAGTCTCACAGTTTTCGGTAGTCCTTAGTTCATTCTGTAAATCCTCTATCATTTTGCGAGTATTGCTTATTCTCTTCTGTCGGTCTTGCTCTTCATTTTGTTTTACTGTTAAAGCTTGCTGAAGTTCCTCAATCTATTAAAATAAAAGTAGGTTAGTACTTCAGATTGTTTTTTCTCCTGGTTTACAAGGCATTCATAGAAATACAGATGCATGGGGCTGGAGGTATATCTCAGTGTAGAGCACTTGCCTAGCATGCATAAGGCCCTGGGTTTGACCACCAGCACTACAGCTTCCAAAAGGTAAAAAAAAAAAGAAAAGAAGAGGAGGAAGAGGAGGAGGAGGAGGAGGAGGAGAAGGAGGAGGAAGAGAAGGAGGGCAAGCAAGCGAAGACCAGGGGTGTTTTCCTCACTAAAAGGCAATCTGCTATAATTAGACTTAACAGATGACCAATCCTTCTAGACTATCTGTATCTTTATTTCTTCTCTGATATATTCCAACTACAGTACCCGGAGAAGGACATATAAGGCTCATTAATTACTTGCTGAATAAATAAAACCAAACATTTCTAAATAGAGGTAATAAATACTACACATCATACGACTAAAAAGTCATTTTAACTTTAAACTAGAATAAGATCTCTGACAAAATTTTTTCAAGAAACATTTCAAGTGAATATTGTGCGGTTTTTTTTGCGGGGAGGTACTGAGGATGGAACTCGGGACCTTGCACTTGGGAGGCAGGCGGAAGAACCACTGAACTATGTCCCCGGCCCCAATATTGTGAGATTTTAATCATCAGTGTTTAGAACTAAAGCTTTCAACTTACAATCAGTGTAAATTAATTTTTAAAAGCCAGAAATGCTGGGTGCCACCTGATGTCAGTGGAATTTTTATCAAAAGTAGTTATGATTTTCTTAAAGACAGATGTACATTGACACACAGATATAATTCATTTCCTTTGTAACCAGAATTTGGTATTAAAATAAGTAAGGTTAACACTTTATATAATCTGTTTATTAGCTGGCTTTATTTTTAAGTCACATTTACTCCCTCCTCTTCCACATTATGTTATAACACATTCATTATAAAACTATGGAAAATCACTTACACTCTGAACATCCTTAAACATCTATATTTTAATGTCTACTAGTATATTTATAGAACATATTTATTTCTATTAAATGGCACAACTAAAAATTTGTGATGTTTCTCACTCTCCCCAATATTCTTGCAAAATAAAATCATCACCTATATAACGTCCTGATATATGAATATATATATATTACGATCCCATTCCTTATTTCTGGAAATTTAAAGTTGTATAATTTTTTTTAAAAAAAAACTTTAGCTTTGGCAGTATCAAGATGATGAACTGAACATATGCCCAGTTCACCTCTCCTATATCAAAGACCAAAATGAAAGAAAACGTACTTGAAAAAACTAAAATAAGAGGCCGGGGACTTAGCTCAGTGGTTTCGCCACCTGCCTTGCAAGCGCAAGGTCCCGAGTTCGATCCCCGGTACCAAAAAATCCCCAAAAAACCTAGGATAAGTATCTGTCCCTGAAAATTCACACTGTTCAATGGACCAACGAGAAGGAAGTAGATAAGTCATAATGTTTAGCCAGGAAACCCATGAAGTCAGTTTAAGGCATTTCGGAGAATAAAGGGACAAGTCACAGTAAACAAGTATAAAAGTGAGAATGCTCAAACACATAAAAAGTCTAAGCCCAAGAAAAGAGAACAAGAAATTTAACATATAAAATAAGCTTTGCACTCCTACTATAACAGAGACCACCAAGCTATTGAAAATCATTGGCTGGCAAAGAAAGGTGTAACAAAAGAAGGTCTTTGACTTTGACCTAAGAAACTAAAGAGAAATCCAATGGTCCCTTATTTTTTGGTTTAATTTCCTGAACTCTAATTCATTTGCCACCTTCATCCAAGAAACTACCATAACTAACCACATTAGTTCTACCATCATTAATACTCATGTTTAGCTTGAGCACAATCTAAATCTCTTAGATCACCTACCTTTACTAGAATACTAAGATAATAGGACACTAAGATACTAGGATACGCTGCTTTATCTTCAATTTCTTTCAATATTCCTTCTTACTCTAACTGAAACTTACCTATATCTCAATGACACATCTCCCTAGAACCCTATCAAGTGGTCACCTGCCATAACCCATTATTTCAGGACTCAGAGGTAGAGAGTCTCATCATTGTACTTCGGCCTTTAACTGAGCCCCACTTCAGTACCTTTGAAGGACAAGGATCACACTTTGTTACACATTTTCCTTGGGCTATGTTAACTATCTCCCTTCAAATTCTCCCTCACTTTATTCATTCACTGATGACTTTGACACTTGCTTCAGTATCTTCAGCCATCACTACGCCTGTCATCATGAGCCTTCAATCTAAATACAGAATATAAAACTCCTTGGTCTCTGTGTTCTATATTTTTAAATTTCAATCATCTTTTCCTTGCAATGTAGATGGTATAAATCACCAAAAATCACATCATCTCTGAAAACTGTATTTCTATAATCCTACTCTTTGATAGTCATTCCTTCCCTCTATTTTATTCACTCTAGTATTCCTATTCTAACTATTCATGAATCCCACAGGGTCCTGCAATCCACTGGTCTTTTCACAATCCATTATCCCCCTCATTTCTTTTCTTAGCCTGCTAAGCTTCCACAACCCAACACTATAGCCACTCTCGTGCAAAGACACCCCAATCTTCCATTCCTGTATCACATTCCCAGCCCTACTTAAACTTTACTATATACTTTCTATCTATATAACTTCCACACTAACCTATCAATAGGTTATTAACAACTATATACTAACTATATACTTTCTATCTAGTCCTAATTAAACCGAACCATATACCACCAAGGGCAAACCTATGGTACATGTGCTGCAGTGAGCTGTTTGTTATCATTGAAAGTTCTAAAAAAATTTGTCATCATTTTATACTTTCTCAATCTAAGTATATACCACATGTATCTAAGCAACTGAACTAACTGAAGAAACCTTAAAAACTGGTCTCACTTAAAATTACAGCCACAAAATTGAAACAGGCAAGCAAAACTACCACTAATACACTTCTCTAATAAAATCTACGCCCTATGCCAAGCATGGTGCCACATGCCTATAATCTCAACCACTTGGGAGGCTGAGGAAGGTTCAAGGCCAGCCTGGACAATTTAGCAAGGCCTTGTCTCAAGTTAAACATAAAAAGGGCTTGGGATGTAGCTCAGTGGTAGAGCACTTGCTGAGCATGCAGGAGTCCCTGAGTTAAATCTCAGGATCATATAGGACAACAACAGAACAACAACAACAGCAACACATTATGCCTTCATTCTGATGTAAGTTCTTATCTTTTCCTCCTTTCTCAACATTTTATTGCTCTCTTTCCTCTATTAACTCATGACTCACCTAGTGGCCTTGCCTCATGTTCCATCAATAGAAAGACTGAAATCAGGATACCGTCTTTTCCTGCTTTCAAACCTGTCACTCTACCTACATCTGTACTCACCCCACTTTATCTTGTACAATCTAAGGACAGTCCCTATAGTTAAATCAACTCCCCCAAGGCTACTCCAAAACAGTTTCTCCAATTATTTACAATAAAAGACCATTAAAAAAATGACAGAAGGGGGCCGGGGATTTAGCTCAGTGGTTCCACTGCCTGCCTTGCAAGCGCAAGGTCCCAAGTTTGATCCCTGGTACCAAAAAATAAAAAAATAAAAAATAACAGAAGGGCATGGCAGAGCACACCTATAATTCCAGAAGGCTGAGGCAGGAGGACCTCAAATGTGAAGTTAGCCTGGACTACATAGAAAGACTTTGTCTCTTAACAACAACAGCAACAACAAAAACCAATCTATATTCTGAACTTTTTTCTTCAGGTTTGAACCCAGGGCCTCCCATATGCTAGGCAAACACACTCACTACCCCTGAGCTACATCCCTAGCCCTACAAGTCAACTTTTACCAATTATGATGAAAATAAATTACCAATTATTTTTGCATATAGTGTGGCAATTCCTTTAAAAGCTGAATGTAAACCATGATACCATACTCCTAGTAAATGATCCAGAAGAAATGAAAATATATTTCCAAACAACACTATACAAGAACACTCACACCAGCTTAACCAATAATGAAATCCAAACTAAAAACCATTTAAATATCCTTTGAAAAATGAATAAACAAATAGTAATCTCAAAGAAAAAATGGAGAATATCAAATTCTGTGGGACATAGTAAAGCAGAATTGAGAGGAAAACTTATAGCTCTACGAGTGATAAAGAGTGTATACCTCTAAGAGTGTATGTAAGAAAAGAAACTCAAATAATCTATACTTTACCTCAAGAAACAGGTAAAAAGAACAAAATAAACCCACTTCCAGGAGAAGAAAGGAAGTATCCAGTTAAGTGTAGACATCAACCACATTGAAAACAGCAAAACAGATATTAATGAAACAGAGTTGGTTATTCAGAATAAATCAGTAAAATTAACAAACCTCTAGTAAGATTAAGAGACAGAGCAAGGGAGAAGAGGGGTGAAAGTCAAAAGAACACAATTGTCCATGGAATGAAACAGGGATCTCACTACAGCTTCTATATTTTTAGGCCAACATAGTTTCACTTCAGAATTACACAAAGTGGTTTAAGAAGAATTAACAATTCTACACAATCTTCCAGAAAATAGAAGAGGGATCACTTCCTCAATTTTTTTATGAACCTAATTATCTTAATACCAAAAGCAAACAAAGTATAAAAAGAAAACTACAGAACAATATTCCTCATGAGTATGTAAAAACCCTTTATCAAAATATTGGCAAAAACAATTTATATGTAAAAAGAATTATATGTTTATACATCACAACCAAGGTTTGTTTTAGGGATATATGCCTAATTTGATATTAATAAACAAATCAATGTAATCTATCACATTAACAAGTTAAAGAAAAAACTATAAAATCATATCAATATGTGTAGAAATGTACTTGGTAAAACTGAACTTCCAGGCATAAGAATTTTCAGAAACATAAAGACTACATTTTTTGGGTTTTTTTGGTACCGGAGACCAAACTCAGGACCTTGTGTTAATAAGGCAG